AGATCGATATTCACATTTTCATCCATCATTTCGCATTGTATGTGTATATGCATTATATGTTCTCAATTATTGTTCATTTGGCTTGAAATCAAATGTATGTATTTATTTTCTCCTCTCGTGTATCAATTTAGTTTATTTATAAAAAATTGACCTTGATGATAGAAATGAGAATTTTTATTTTTAATTTAATTTATTAATTTTTCGATTATTTATCTGCAAGGGAAAAAGTTAAAAATTTTGAACTAATTTTATTTTTTTATTTAGTAAAAAAAATTATTACTAAATCAAATGGTAATATTTTACTAAAAATTAGCAAACATTTCTACTAATTTGAATTAGTGAACGAATTACTAATTAAAATTTTTATTTTAATTAATGTTGGTTAAACGATACTTTTGTTTTCCTTTTATTATTTTTTAATTTATTTTGACTTTTTTAAAAAAGGGATAATACTTATAAAAAAAAATAAGTGTTTGAGTAAATCGATATAGTTTTCGAAATAAATATATATGATAGTCGAAAATCGTGTTTGATAATTTTCGTTTGTATTGCAGTCACGGAGGCATATGTGTGTATATATATTAAGCAAACTTTGAAGATCAAAGTAATAAATTCATGAATATTGGCTCATATTAATTCCGGACACAACATATGCTTTGAAATAACACTTCTCATTTTAACATTCAACCAACCACAAGAAAATTATCCTATATAAATAATTTTCTTCTTTAAACTTTTCGTATATATGTGTTTTTGTTTGAAAGTAATTAAATCCAATTTTTGCACCAAAAATATTGAAAGAATTTTACACTGAAATACAAATTTATTATTTGATTCAAATAATCGGTTACTTGACTATTGTCAAATAAATTTTTACTTGAACCAAATAATTTTTTACTTAAACAAATAAAATTTATTTCAATCAAATAAATATTTATCTGCAACAAATAAATATTTATCTGCAACAAATAAATATTTGTCTGCAACAAATAAATATTTATCTGCAATAAATAAATATTTATCTGCAACAAATAAATATTTGTCTGCAACAAATAAATATTTATCTGCAATAAATAAATATTTATCTGCAACAAATAAATATTTGTCTCTAAGACAAATATATTTTTGCTTTGGATTTAATTTCTCTAAAAAAAATTAAAAAAAAAAATACGGTTGAAAGTTTGTGATAAAAGATATTTTTGCTAAATTTCTGATGAGGGCAGACAAATAACAATCAATTTGTTGGTAGGAAATGGTAAAACGTAACCCCTGTTAACAATCTGCTAATCAATTAGGTTTCGCGTGCGACGATAACTAGTGTAGGGTGTGCGCGCCTTGTAGTTAACGTTCTCGAGTCTCGTTTCTCTTTTGAATCATGTGTACATGCAGAGGTGAATACACATTTTCTCACTAGTGAAATATATATATATATAAGATGAGTCAAGCTTTTTTGGTAGGGATTTTGATATCGTGGCGTGTGGCGAGTTGAAAATTACGAGAAGATCGCGTGCTAAACGATTCCGCCTCCCTTTTATATACTGAGTCAGTGCCACGGTTTTGGGGGGGGAGGGGGCAGTTTGCAAAACACCGCCATTATATGCACCCAAACTCAGAACGATACTAACAAGCGTACTCTCGAGCTATGCATTTCTAAATTGCCTTGCCGCTCAAAAAGCGCCTTTTCTGATTAAAATGAGATCGAAAGATGTTAATTAAACGATAATGTTTAATATGTTTCCAAATTAAGAAAATTGCCTTTACACCTTTTTAACAAGTATTATTAAAAATTGCGTTTTCGTTTAGAAAAATTGTATTCTTTTAAAATTATTAATTATTTATATTAGTTTTCATTATTATTCTAAATTTTTGTAATTTTCTTTTTAAACAAAAATAACAAAAAAAAATGATAGAAATGGAATAAATTGTTAGTTAAAAAATTACATATATACGGGAGAAAATTATTTATGAAATATTACAATTTTTTTTGGGGGGTGGAGGAATATGAGAGCCATTTTCTTAAATTGCAAAAATAGTAAGTAATGCTTTCAATTTACTTGGATTATGACTCTGGAGCTATTCTTGAAACTCTAAAAGGCACCTTTCAGTAGAAGTTTAAAGTTTACAACATGGAATAGTAATTACGTGCGCTGCAAGATGAGAGTGACAATCCTAAACCGTTCATTAAAGATATTTAAGTTTTTGCATTTATTATGAAAATCTCATAACAAAGTCGTTTATTCTTATTTTCCCTCTAAATGTACAGGAAAATAAACTTTTAATAAGTTAATATAATTGCAACTAATTATCGATATCCCAACTCATAATAATAATAATAATAATAAAAATAATTTTAAAAAAAAGTCTGATTGCAACAAACTTTTTCTACTGGTACTAAAAATACAAACAAAGTTTTTGTTAACTCTGTCTGACTAAAACTATGTTTTACTACTGATAATTTTTTTAAAAATAATTATATAACATTTTGTCTGACTAATTCTGTCTTTTACTACTTATACAAAAAATGTTAATGTAAAAATATGTTTGACTGTAACAAACTTTTTCTACTGAAATGAAATTAGAGAAATTTTAAAAGTTTTGTCTGACTAAAACAAACTTTTACTACTAATTATATTTTTGTGAGAATTCCATAAACTTTTGTCTGACTGAAACGACCTTTTACTACTGATTCACAATTTATTTTTAATAATAAACAATTTTTTAGCTGGCTGAAACTGAATTAAATTTACTAGAAAAAAAATTGTGTCTGACTAAAAGTGACTTTTACTACTGAATTAAAATTACAAAATACCATTTGTATCTGCATACGAATTTTGGAATATTTTTATTAAACATTTCCTGCAGGTAAATTTGAAAATAACTTCTACCTCGTAGTTATTAATATTTTAGTAATTAATAATTAATAATTAATAATTATTATTAATTTTTGCTTAAATTGTTAATTATGTTAACAAAAAAAAATTTTAAATTTATAAATATTAGTTAGAATAAAAAATAAATATTTTTTTCACTACTTGAAAAAAATAAGCTTGGCCCCTCTTATCCTGAATTCTTTCTCGTTTTCCTTTACATTTCGCGTTGCATTGTATTTGAACTTACACGAACTATATACGAACATGCAATTCAAGTGCTTCGGTAGAGTCGAAGGGGGTTGGAAAAAAGAAATAAACAAGCGCCTAACTGAAATCAGGAATGTGAAGTGGATGGTAGTTTAAAACGATTCCCAACTCTTTTCTGCGCGAGTTTCGTTCTTTTTGGCTTCTTCCAATAGACGCATTCCTCTACCGGAAGTTAAAACTGTACGTCCTCTCTTTGTACTTTTCTAGAAGGAAGAAACACATATACACATCTACATATATATATATATATATATATATACAAAAAGGGTGCTCTTTTCTAATAATAGAGTCAAATAAACCTCTTTTCTTTCTTTATTTCCCCCCCTCCCAAAAAAAAGATTTCTTACTTAATTAAAATAAGCAATGTTACAAGATACTTCTTTTAAATTAACTTATTTCTTTCACTTTAAAATTGTAATTTTACATCTTGGAGGAAATTATTTTTTTACTGGATTAATTCTTTTAGTATTTTTTTTATAAATTAAAATTTAAAGTGAAATTTTTTTATTTAGGAATACAATTTAAAAGTATATAAATAAAAATTATTCGTTTCAAGTCAATATTTATTTGATACTAAAATAACCGATTATTTTTTTTACTATTAATTTTTTTTCAGTATACCAAAAGTAGAAATATAAAATAATAAATTTTTTTTCCTATAATTTAAAAAATAGAAAAAAACGTAGAATTTTTCTCTTTTTTTTTTAGAAAATGTATAAAATTATTTTTTATACGTTATGTAGTTAATTAGAAAATTAATAAAAAGTTTAAAAAAATTTTTTTTACTAAAAAGAAGTTTTATTAATAATTTTATTTTAATTTGTAAAATTATTCGATAACAATAAATGTAATAAATCTACTTAAGTAATCGTCTAAAACATTCAAAAAGTTTTTCGTCAAACTTTGCGAGAACATTTAACCTTTTGATATACATGTATCAAACTTGAAAATGAGTTTCGAAATTATTCATTTCTATGAATGTGTTTCCTCCTTACTTGTAAGTTTCAAAGATCTTTATATTAAGTATTTTAAATATTTCATTTTTCTTCCTTTCATTTCATAAAATTTTTTCAACATTAATTGTCAAATATAATTTAAATGAATTTAATTTCACTAAATATTTATAAATAAAAAATAGATTTTAATTTTTAAAAAAATCATAAATCAAATAAATAGAAAATCGATGAAATAAAATTATAAAAAGGAGAACAATAAAATTAATAACAATACATAAACAAAAGAAAAGCAATTTACAATAATGCAATTAGAAAATTGAATTTAAGTCAATAAGTGATTGATTACTGGTTCTTTTTAACCACGTTCGTTTTATGTTGTTTCATGCGAAACAGTGAATGGAGCACGCGATAGAGTTGAAAGAACGAGATTTTCATTTAAAGTAAACAAAGAGCTCTGCTTGAATGTAACTACTAATTTTTGCAGTAAGATGAGAGAGAGAGAGAGGAAAAAAAGTACAAAGCAAATTGTGAATGAAACAAAAATGCATTAGGAAAACGAGAAAATAAAATTAATTTCTATAAATACAATTGTTATTTTTTTCAACGCGGAAAAAAAGAAGTTGCTTACAGACGCTAACTAATGTTTGCTATCGGATCTATCAAAATTAGTAACCACTGCTAAATTTTTTGCTATGACAACGAAAAAGTTTGCTGTGATAAACAATATTGGTCTTAATTTTTAAAAATTTACTGGCACAGTAAACTTTTTTGAACCCACAGCAAATTTGTTCGCTGTTCCTATATTACCTAACGTAATTTGATATGACAGCAAATATTTTGCTACTACAGCAAATTTTTTCTATTCGTGTATTTTTTAATTAAAAAAATTTAATTGTTTTTTTTTTACCTTGAATATTTCACTTGAAAATTAATCCGTAAGATTCTCTGGTAAAATTAAAATTTCTGGAACCACTAATTTATAAAAAACAGTTGGTAAACGTCAAACAAATTTGTCCTTTATAGTTGCAGACCACAGCAAATATACACGAATTTGAATATCGCAATTCATATTTAACGAAATTTTTTATGTACACTTATTATTTATTTACTGCTTCCTTTTTTTCGCTCTGTGAGTATTAAAAATTTATTTTTTAACTAAATTCTCGAATTTATAAAATAAATTAATTAATTGAACATATTTTTGCATTGTTTAAAAGAACATCGCTTTAATTGGCTACAAAACAATGAGTTTTTGTTATAAATAATATTGTGTCAAAAAATACAAATATTTTTATAAAAAATCAAAAACATACAAAAAAAATTTACAAAGCAATTAATTTTAATTATTAATTATAATAATAAAAATTCGTAATATATCTAATTTTCGTTTAATTATTACAATTTATTCCATTAACGTATGAGACAAGAATTAGATTACCATAAATTTCTAATTTACTAATTTCACTTGTTCACAATAATAGTAAGAGGATTAATTTAATTTTACTAATTGATTATTTACATTTCAAAATTCAAATAAAAATCACATGTCGCATATTAAATTCTGTAAATTAATATTATGATTAATTAATTATAAATTATAAATTACATAATTAATTAATTATAAATTAAATAATTAATTTCATATTTTATTAGAAAATTAAAATAAAAAATAAAATCACTTTTTCTGCTTAGAATTTATATTAATGAGAGAAGAACAAAATATTAAAACTGAAAAACTATTAAAAAGTTTTTTTTTATGTAATATTTTTGAAACACACGTGCTCGTTATAAATGTCTTTTGTAATAAGTGAAGATACGAACGTACTTATTTACCGTGTGAAATCCGATCAGAAACTGAGTTGATGATGATTCCCCACTATGTTCATTGGAGGCAGGACGCTTTAGTCATCCGACGCGCGACTTTGCTCCGCCTCTTTTGGTTGGGGGAAAAACCACCCCTCTCTCACGAAGTATTTGCGAATTACCCCAGAGGCCAATTCTCACAGTTGTCTTAAGGCGCGACCGCTGGCCTGGGAAAACGATTGCAAGCAAGACCAAACGACAAATGGTCACGTCACACTAAACACAAGATTCGTTATACTTAAATTTCTGATTTTTTTTCACCTCCCGATGTAATAAAATTAAAGTTAAATTTTTTTTAGTTTTTTTGATATTAAAATTACAGGTATTCTGTTCTTTGTACTGATACTAAAAGTATAAGGAACTTTCAAACTATCTGTCTGACTAAAACTTGCTTCTACTACTAATTTTAATACAGTTACATAGTCTGACTATAATTTAACATTACTACTGATTCAAAAATTACAAAAAAAATTTGAAGGCTGGCTGTAACTTTCTTTTACTACTGGTACCAAAATTGTAATATTTAAAAAGTCTGACTACAACGCACCATTACTACTGAGTCTAAAATTATATTATAATTTTAGTCTGACTATAATTTACCTTTACTACTGTTTCTATCATTAGAAAAAAATTGGTCTGATTATAACATACTTTTGCTACTTTTATAAAAATTACAAGTATTCTGTCTGACTGTTTAGTTTTTACTACTGATTCTAAAAGTATATGGAACTTTAAAACTACCTGTCTGACTAAATTTTTCTTTTACTACTGATTACAATGAATTAAAATAGTCTGACTATAATTTAACATTACTACTGTTTCTAAAATTACAAAAATTTTGAAAGGCTGACTGTAAATTTACTTTACTACTACTACCAAAATTATAATATTTAAAAAGTCTGACTAAAACTAACACATTACTACTGATTCTAAAATAACTTTTTCTGAAAGTTTTACTATATTTTACTATTACATAATTTTAAATTATAAAATTCAAAATGGAAAAACCGATTAAAAAAATCAAAATAGAAAACGGTTTAAATTTAATTTTAAACTACATTTATATGTATATAGTAAAAGGTCATTGAACTCGGAATAATATGTTAACCGTCTTGATACATCAAATTTAGAAACACAATAGAAAGGTAAATGCTAATCAGAAATCCTATACAGAATCCAATTTACTTATTAAGAGAAACACGTATTATTAAATTAGAATAACTCACTTTTTCCGTTAATTGTAAATTGATTTTCTTAAACTTTAAGTGATTTTCGTAACAGTCGTAAATGTCAATAACAGCCATAAAAAAGAACTCAATTTTTATTTGTATCAGTAGTAGATTTTTTTTAAATCTTGGAATGAGTAGTAAAAGCATTTTTAGCCAGACAGAATATTAAATATTTTTAACGCTTTTTTAGCAGTAGTAAAAGTCAATTTTTGTCAGACAAGCTGTTTTAAATTAGGTAATTTCGGTCGCATTGGTACAGGTCAATGAAAGTCGGACTAAATTACTGTAATATTAATAGCAGTAGTAGAAGTAAATGTAAAGTCTAACTTTTTAAGTTTTGTAATTTTTTCACTGTAGAAAAAATATTAATTTTAGTCAGACAAGGGCTTTTAGTACAGTCTGGTACTTTTAGTACAGTCTGGTACTTTTAGTACTTTCTGGTACATTTAATATTTTATGGTACTCATAGTACTTTCTGGTACCTTTAGTACCTTCTGATACTTTTAGTGCTTTCTGATACGTTTAGTAATTTCTGGTACCTTCTGGTATCTTTAGTATTTTCTAGTACTTTTAGTAATTTCTGGTACTTTTAGTGCTTTCTGGTACTTTTAGTATTTTCTGGTACTTTTAGTGCTTTCTGACACTTTTAGTACTTTCTGGTACATTTAATATTTTATGGTACTCATAGTACTTTCTGGTACCTTTAGTACCTTCTGATACTTTTAGTGCTTTCTGATACGTTTAGTAATTTCTGGTACCTTCTGGTATCTTTAGTATTTTCTAGTACTTTTAGTAATTTCTGGTACTTTTAGTGCTTTCTGGCACTTTTAGTATTTTCTGGTACTTTTAGTGCTTTCTGGCACTTTTAGTATTTTCTGGTACTTTTAGTGCTTTCTGGCACTTTTAGTGCTTTCTGGCACTTTTAGTAATTTCTGGTACTTTTAGTGCTTTCTGGCACTTTTAGTAATTTCTGATACCTTCTGGTATCTTTAGTATTTTCTGGTACTTTTAGTTATTTTTGCTACCTTCTGGTATCTTTAGTATTTTCTGGAACTCTTAGTACCTTCTGGTACTTTTAGTACTTTCTGGTACTCTTAGTACTTTCTGGTACCTTCTGGAATATTTAGTAGTTTCTGGTACTTTTAGTACTTTGTTATCTTTTTGGTACTTTCTGATACTTTTGATACTTTCTTGTACTTTTAGTTCTTTTAAAAAAAAATTGTTCTATGACTATTTTGAAGTAATAATTTCTATTTTTATTTTTTCTAGATCATTGGACGGGAAGAGGTGATGCTGTCAATTTTTCGGTGAGTCTTTTTTTAAAATCATAGCAATATTTTTTATCTTATTATTGATTTTCAAAAACGTGATTTTATAAGAACACGTAAGTAGTATAAAAATAAAAAAATTATGCAAAAGTAAATAATATTAAAAAAAATACATATAAAAAAGTATTTAATTTTTGAATTTCATCTTAATCGTCTAAAAATGAATATAAATTATTCTCTCCTTCTCTATAACGTAAAGTCTGATGACAAGGATATAATTTTCAAGAAATACTTTCATACCTTCCTTATAAATTTTTGATGCTTTCTCGATAAAAGCGATCGTGTCAAGTACTTTGCGAAATTATATTTTTGTCATACAACGATGAGATGAGAACAACCTTCGTATATACAAAGGACTATTACGCTAATGAAACACCTGACGATAAATATTGTTTTCATCCTAAAAGGTGATATCCGAGAAAAGATATATGTATATACACACATTTTTTTTATCGTTTTAAACGAAAATTGTACATCGTGTCACACCTCAAATGTTACGAGAAAAAGTCACCTGGAGCGGCTGAGAGATATTTTTTAGAGAAAACGATGTCGGTCTTGTACCACTTTTGTGGAAGTAAAAAAAAAGAAAAGAAAAAGAGAAGGGGGAAAAGATAAAAGTGGTCGGACCGTGAAAGGTCCTCACCAACAAGACATCCAGGTCGAGTGTTTTTATTCCATTACCGGGAGCGCCAACCTCTTAACCACTTACTTAACCTACGACCTTCACCCTTATCTTCTCCTCCCCTTCGTGTACACTTGATAGTCTTTGACATCTCAAATATTATCTGTCGATCCGATCATCGCTTCACTAGTGTGTTGCAGTGGTGCGCGCGTTCGACAAGATGAATTTCCTGACTGGATATTACCGCATCATCTTAAATTTAAATTTAGTATGACACTTACGTCATCCATAATTACTGTTCCAATATCCGAGATTTCAGAGCTTATCTTCCATTCTCTAATATCATCTTGAATTTATATACTATAAAACAATTTTCCATAAAATCATTCGAAAATTGATTTTAATGGCATTTTTTTAAGCAATTAATGGAGGAATAATTTTTAGAATTGAGGAGAGTTTATTTTTATCTATGAAAATATATATTTTTGGAACAATTTTTTTCTTAAATGATAATTTAGTTAAATTGCAAAAATATTTGGTGTAAGAATAAATTCAATAAAAAATTGAACTGTTTTTAATTAAGTTAATAATAAAAAAGTTTTAAAATTTGAAAACATGATTCTAAAAGTATGAGGAACGTTAAAACTACATGTCTGACTAAAACTTACTTTTACTACTAATTACAATAAATTAAAATAGTCTGAACAAAACTTGCCACTACTACTGATTCTAAAATTACAAAAATTTTGAAAGACTGAATGTAATTTATTTTTACTACCACTAACAAAATTATTTGGTTCAATGAAATACCTCCACGAATTGTCATAATAAAAAAAAATGTTTCCTTGCATTTTTTTCTAATCGAGTGGTTGTTTTTCTTATGATCTAATCGTGATACAAAAAATGAGAAATACTTGGCTAAAATAGTAGTAACTACATACGTGACGCACTAGGAACGACTTGAGAATTCCCCCTTGAGACATAGACAAGAAGCTTATATTATATACATATATATATATTGACTCTCACTTTCCCTTGGTAAATATGCCTCGCCGCATAAAATCGAAATGCATATATACATGAGTTTGAGTGGCGTTGATGTGTGTCATATACACATGGACGAGTTGAGAATTGAGAATGTGAAAGGGCGCGAATAAACGTGTTAGGAGAGAAAGGCGAAATTACAAAGGAGAATGGGATGAGAAAGAAGTGAGAGAGAGGGAGGCAAGGGAAAGGGAATAGGATAGGATGATGTGTCATCCGAAGCAACGTATGTTTGACCCAACGAACAAATTTCCATTAACGGTCGGCTCGACTTCCCAGCGAAGGGTTACCCCTAAACCAATCAACACGAGCCTGTTTTTTCAAACTAGCGACTGATTCTGTTTGGGAGTAGCAAAAAAACGATATCGATACTTTTTTTCCTACCTCTTTGTGACACGCGAGTTGAATAATCGTTTATTAAAAATCAAAATTCCGGTTCCTTTTTTCATTTTTCAATTTTATAGAATT